GCCTGTAAACCCAGTGAGACACCACTGGAGAACACTAGTTTTTCTTTGTAGGCAGTGGTGAGCTGGAAATAACTTCAGGGTTAGGAATGGGGTTGTGTCTACTTCTCCTCTCAATGCTGGAGCCTCTTTTGGCTTGGATCTATACATGCTGCCACAGTCTCTGTGAGTTCATACGTGTGCCAGTCCTGTTGTGTCCTCAGTGGTACCCATTCCTCCGGCTCTTACAATCTTTCTGTCTCCTCTTCTGCATAGTGCCCTGAGTCCCGAGAGGGAGGGATCATTTAGGATTGAATGTTCAAGGTCTCTAACTCTGCACACTGTCCAGATTTGCATCTCTGTATTAGCTCCCATCTCCTACACGAGGAAGCTTCTCTAATGACGAGCCAGACACTTATGTGAGTCCCAGCCCAGGGTAGCCAGTAAGGTATTTCTTTCTTTCTTTTCTTTTAAGAAAATGTTGTAAGAATTCTAGGCAGCGATTAATCTCGAAGGACAACAAAAGGATAATTCCCTTGAAGTTAACCTATGCGCTGCTATTGATTATGGGTTCATTCAGGAGAAGCAATGAAATATACAATCACAAATAGGAAAAATTTGGTATGTCAGAACGAGCCACATGAAGAGTCAAATAGATCAGATTCATCCGCGTGGACCAGGAAGGTACATGAGAGATGTCACCATGGTGTCTCCCTTCATTGTCTGCTACATATAGACACAATTTTAAAAAACAGGGATGGTGGATGTTGCTGCCATCTTAAGACTGGTTGTTTCTAACTTCTCCCAAATCCCACACCCACTCATTTGTGGATCTTATTATGACAACCTTGAGCTTCCCCAAGAACCCCAGCCTCTTGGACCTTCACAATCCTGCCTCATGCACAGGGCAAACTTTCTTGAGGACCACATCCTGTCTGGGCTGTTCCGGTCATTGAAGTTCACTTTGCTGTTCAACCTTGACACAGTGCTCAGTGTTCTGGTTTTAGTCAAAATCCAAATGTTTCCTGAAACCCAAGCTGAGCCGAAGACACATCCCTCGCCCGAGACCACCAGCTCTGTTCAAGCTCACTCTTAGTATTTCCAGGTACCTACGTCACGCTTTCACACCGGGCGCTGAGGTCGAAGCGTGGAAGGTAGAGGTGAGTCTAGCAGCCTGAGCCTGACTAGCAGTGTCCAATCTGGAAAGCTTCCCCTTCCACGCAGGGAACTCAGCAAGCGCCACCTGCAATCGTGACCTCTGACCCTGGCTGTTCCAGTCTACCGTGAAGGTCAACAAACTGGTTAGAAAGGGATTTACAGGGCTGAGGATGTCGCTCGGATATAGAATGTTCTCCGACTAAAAAACAAAAATGGCGCTTTGCTGTGCAAGCATCTTGTACATTATTCCACTGTTGTCAGCAAAGACACACCGAGTAAGGAAATAAAGCTACGTGCTTGGCGTCGGGGAAAGAATTCAGCGCAGTGTTTAAAAGTTATCTTTGGCAGCGCTGGGACCTTCCTACTCCCTCTTTACTGGTGTCGCTGTCTTTATGAAACCCTCATTCCAGGCATGGTTTATAGTGCAGCCCCATGACTGCTCCTCTTCTATAGAGAGCTGTCTGCAGGATACTCCCGAGTACCTCAGGGAAGGGGAGGAATGCAAGACAGGTGTCAGCCACCATTCCTGTTAAACATTTCAGGCCGTGAGGGGAACCTGTCAAGATGTCACCTAAGTTAGTGGATGTCATGCCATTAAGTTCTCCCCCATCTATGAGATGGGGACAAAAGGGAGCAGGGTGTTAGCACGTTGCCAAAATGATACATCATCATTTCGGGGAGGCTAAAGAGAGAGGGCCAGCCCAGGGCCCAAATGGTAAAGGGCACATAACCGCAAGGATCAGCTTCAAGCATGGAATAAGATTTTGGTTAAAAAAAAAAAACACAATACAAACAATCTTGACTGTTTATTATAGTGAAATGAGTATTAAAAAGAAAAAATAGATGATACAAATATAATAGGGAGACTTTCTGGACTGAAAAGAAAGCCCCAAACCCTTCCAGCAAGGGAGTAGCAGGGTCTGAGACAGACATTCCCCAGAGGGATTAACTATGTATGCTGAAATTTGAAGGCGGGAGGGGGGGGGCTTCAGGCAGGGTCTGAGGTCCACAGCTACAGTGGTAGCTTCAGACATGCAAACAGACAGACAGTTGGATATATACAGCAATAAACCATGAGGCAACTATACTAGCAATTCCTGGAATACTTTAAAGTCGGGTCTTGACAAAAGCAAACATAACTGCTTTAAAAGATCAGGCAAGGTCAGCTGTGGCTACTTCACTTCCTATTCCAGGGCTCAGTGGATGCCAGTGCACATTCCACCACAGAGGAGCGCCCTCCTGCGTGAAAAGATACTGCTGGAAGGCAGATTCCCCAAACAGAAAGAAAATTAAAACTCCAATTCGACACAAGAGCCTCAAAAACAACCCCAAGTATAGCAGTGTGTACTGCCAACCCTTGACTGCTATTCTGATCACACTTGATGATAAAATTATAAACAGAAGAGATATTTTTGTTGTTGTTTTTTTTTGTGAAATACTACCCAGGGAACAGTATGACCCTACAGAGACAGAGGCCTGGCACTGGGCCCCTGGATCATCTTAGTTTCTTTGCCTGATGTGAGAGCAGAAAGGGCCACTGAGTGTAAGGGCTCCAAGAACCTAGGCTGCAGATCTTCACTAGCAAACCTCACGGAGTCATCAGGAAAGGCGAGAAAGAAAGGAGGGAGGAAGGGAATGAATGGCAAAGAAGCCACACAGATAAAGGGGGATGCTGGGGCAGGGGACTGGGGAGTGATAACAGAAAATAAATAAAAATACATAAATAGATAAGCACCACAGAGATGGAAACAAGAGGGTGTGAGCTACCTTCCAGACTCCCAGGAGGGCAACCCCAGGCGACATATAACCCTTGGAAAAGGGGGTCACTCACTCTCCTCCCAATCCAAACAGATGCAAGCAACCTCCTTAGCAGAAGCCACGGAACAGCGATTGGAAGCCGCCTCCACTCGGAGGCCAGCTAGATGTGCGTGGCCCAGTGAAAGGGAGGGAGGAACGGCTTTCTCCTGGAGAGTTCTAGGTAGGAAACACCTCAGGAGGGACAGAAGTGATTCCTTGAAAGTCCCGGGCAGTACAGGCCTGTGCGACATGGAATGCATAGTATGTTCGAGAAAAATCACAGGTGGTGTCTCTGTTCCCAGACGGTGAGGAAAAAGCATTTCCACAAACACGAGTCTCCTGTCTAGATGTATGTCTTCCACTCTTCTCGGAGCCCAAGCAATAGAACTGTAAGAATTTTGAAGGAAGAATCCCTCTCCCAACACTTTTGAGTGGACCCCGTGAAAGTGGCATTTGTATAGGCCAAGAAGAAAATGTCAGATCCTACCAAGGCACGTGGATCAACGGTGTGTATGGCTTTCAGTGTCCCCATACAGAAAGGGTAGGGATCCCCACCCCCAGCAATATCACGGATAATTTCAGCTTTGAGGGTAAGGGACAAAATAGAGATTACATAGGTACTTACATAACCACTTAAAATGTGAAAGTTTAAAAATACAGAAATCCACCCTCAGCTCTCACAGGCATTGGCCACAGTGTGTCCGTCTGTCTCCCTCTGCAGCACCCAGGTACACGTGTTACCCTGGTGACGCTCTTCTCTAAAGCAGCTCATTTTACTTCTTGTTTTAATTACGTTCTTAAAGACTTATTTCTCTTTATTTCTTGTTTATGGGTGATGGCCCGCATGTATGTATGTGCACCCCTATGTGTGCTGGTATCATCAGAGGCCAGAAGAAGACAAGGACCCCTGGGACTGGAGTTACAGATGGTTTGAGTCACCCTGCGGCTGCTGTGAAGCAAGCCTGGGTCCTCACTGAGCTCTCCGCCCAGCAAGAGCAGAGCTCTTCCAGGGGTCCCTGTTTGCCCCAGTGCTGCTGCCTTGCGGCTGGTGGTTGATGGGAATCTCTGCAATTGTGAGGAGCAGTCCATCCCCAGGGCTTCTAAAACACCACTGCTTCTAACGGCCAGGTTGACTATACAGGCGCCTCAAGAGGTTTCTAACTCTTCTAGGAAGAAAACAAACCCTGAGCTGTACAAGGAAATGGGGCTGCAGAGTGAAGATAAATAAATATCACTGTAGGAGCAAAACAAGTGTGGGGGAGACATCCCAAGGCCTCCCTGACCTGGACCAACATTCTAGAGAGGCCAAAGGAAAGTAACAAAATAAATGAATCGTCTATACAGCTGGAAGATCAAAGGAAGTGAAGAATAAGACGGTCGAAGACATCAACAAAGGGGCAGACCATCAGATGGGAGGCAAGAGGCCCTTCTAGTCCCGCAGCGACATTAATCAGCGGGTAAGGACCATCTGAAGAGCAACAGACCACTTCCCAAAAGTGGCTGGACGAGTTTCAGTGCTGAAAGACAGAGCCATCTCCAGGGCAGTGTGTCTGCCTTCAGTGAGCGCGGAGACACATGAACCAAGGCATTCTACCCAAAGCACAGAAAACAAAGGCTCACTGCTGGGGCCTCCCTAGGACCAGAGTGGAGTTTGGGGTTTTGTTTTTTGTAATGGAATTAAAACAGTCACTGGGAAATGCTTTTAATTTGTGGCATTCCTATTGTCTTAAATGTTTCATATATTGTGATGAGAAAAGAAAAAGCATTTTAAAGGCTGTGGATGAATGGATAACACTGAAATACAGAAGCATCATCTGGTCTGATAGGGCTACTTGATTATAATAAAAAATACTAATTTAGATAACATTCATCACTATCTGATACGAAAACCTTAACGGAGAACAAAACGTTCTTCTACGTTTCTAAATACTCTCACAGATATCTTATGAGCGTTCACCAGGTTGGAGCCCTGGGATATTCTACAATGAGAAAAGAGAAAGGGAAGGAAGGAAGGAAAGGCAGAGGGAGAGAAGGAGGAAGAAGACACACGTGCACGGTGGCATACATACATGAGCTGCCTGGACACGGGCGAGCCTGTGGGTACCTTCTGCCCATAGCGACAGTCAGCGCGTTAGCAGGGAACTCCGGAACTCCTATGGACTCTGGAAACAGTGAGGTGGCTAGCTGTTGAAGGAGAGGACACAAAAAGGTAGAAATAAAACAGTCTTAGGATAATGATCGCATGTTTTTTCATTAAAATGCTAATGATGACCACCTCCTTCCAGATAACCGTGTTTATGAATTATTCATTGTCACATGCGGGAAGGAATCGCTCTGTCCCTGCAGCGGGCATGGAGCCTGCAGAGGGTTAGCATGTGGCCCCTCGGGTGAGGGGGACAAAAGGGCAGGTACCTAAGAATCCCTCCCTGGTCAGGGATGGAAAGTCCACCTATCCCACAGCATTGGGGTGATTGTGCATCTCCGTAGTCAAGGAAAGAACTGACTTGGCTTGTTGCCGTGACACCTGAACAAACACCCTGCCAATAATACTATAAGAACTCAAATGGAAAAAAGAAAATGTATTGAATTGGAAAGGTTACATGTCAAAGTGATAAGGAAGGAAGGAAAGAAGGAAGGATGGAAGGGAGGGAGAGAGGCAGGGAGGGAGGGAGGGAGGAAACAGTAACACATCTGCACACATCAATTAAACTCTGTATAGAAGGTCCTTTTGTGCTCCCTTCTAAAAGTAACAAATATTCACACTTTTATGCATCTTTGTGAATATTAATTAAATTACTATCATTAACGTTTTGATGGAGGAGGGTTATCTGTCTATTGTGTTATTTTCATTGGTCAATAAAGAGACTGCCTTGGCCCCTTGATAGGACAGAAAATTAGGTAGGCGGAGAAAACAGAACAGAATGCAGGGAAGAGGGCTATGAGCCAGATGCCATGGAACCAGCCACCAGGTCAGACATGCTGAATCTTTCCCGGTAAGCCACACCTCGTGGTGTGATGCAGATTAATAGAAATGGGTTAATATCAAGATATGAGAGTTAGTCAGTAACTAACTCTCTAGAGATAATGGGCCAGGCAGTGCTTAAATGAATACAATTTGTGTGTTATTATTTCTGGGGCTAAACTAGCTGTGCAGGAGCCGGGCAGGATGAAAAGCAGGCCTGCCCGCAGCCCCTCACTACAACTTTTCATTTAAAGAGCACAGGTTACAACTTTACTTGACGTCAGCATTCCTCAACAAGATGAATAAAATAGCGTCTCAGTTTCTAAGGACAGTGGTTCACCGGGCTGAGGGACTTGCACAGGATGGGCCCTGTAGGGTAGTGGGTAAGTGCAAGGATTTGATTGTCACCCAGCAGAGGTCTCTAGCCCAGACAAGAAGAGGTCAGAGAAGGCATCCAGGAACAAAGGGTGTCTAACATGTCTGAGGCTGGGCTGGAGTCAGGCAAAGGCAGTGGAGAAAAACTCTACCATATGGCTTACTGCTCTTGGTCCCTCTACAGAATGACACCCATGTTATCAGACCAGGGAGGAAGACTAGGGCCAGCTGGCAACTCTGGATCTCTTTCAGAAATCTCTGACTAGACCTGGTTGCGGCCAGCTAAGTCTGGGTCAGATGTGGGTTCCAGAGGGACCACTCTCTCCGGGTGGATCCAAAGGGGCATGGTAGAAGCAGAGTAGCAAGGCCAGCCCACTTGTTACAACCATGCAGACAGGAGAGGCAGGCTGAAGACTGAGAAAATAGAAGTGAACAGGGAAAGGATGAAACAAATTAGCATTTGGAAACATCAAGATGCCACAGGGAGAACAACTCGATCAACTCCATGCAGACTGATGGACTTAGATCTCAAGTGTAGAACACCAGGGAAGGAATAGGAAGACCAACAGGTCAGTCTGTAGCTTTAAAAAACTGAGGTGTGGAAGATTCGAGGCCTGGAGAAGAAGACAGAATAAGATGCAAAAGCATTAAGGAACTCACACCGAGAGGCAGAGACATCGAAGCAATGTCACAGAATCACAGAAGGATTGTGGGCAGAGAGAAGACTACACCATTAGTACCAAGAGACAGGCGCTAGCAATGTCAGACCAGAAAGCCAACCACGCCCTTGTAGCAAAAACCAGGCCACAGAGGTCTCCGGAGAAGCGCCATGGGATACAGAGGCAAATGAAGATCAAAAACAAAAATACTTTTGATTCTGACATTTGAAAACCGCTGGCCGCCTTGACTGAGGGCGGAGTTAGTGGCAGGGAGGAGACAGGGAACAGCATCAACAGACTGCGTGGCGTAGCATGTAAGGGGACAGACCATTCTGTAAGAGCTTCAGGGTCAGTGGATGCACAGAGCTTTGCACTGAAGGAACCAGTACAATGGCAAGGACGGCGCGGAGAACCAGGGCAAGAAAAGATGAATTAGCTCTCCAGAGGCAGGAAAGTGGACAGAAGTTCAGATGAAGAGACCGGACGTGAAAAACAATCCACACCCCTTGATACTGGAAGGAGCATAAGGGCTAATCTTCTGGTTCTACTGTATCCACAGCAGAACTGGGATATTAGCGAAGGCACACCAAATGACATTACCATTCCTGAGGATACATGGGAAGACAGGTCATTGGGAAAAGCACTTGGGGTGAAAGCAAGAGGACTTGAGTTCAAGTCCCTAAAGCACACATAAAAGCTAGGTAAGGCCTCACGTGCTAGTAAACGGGGTAGGGATGGAGTGAGGGGGCAGAGATGGGCAGGTCCCAGGTCAACTAGCATAGCCTAGTCAAAACAGTACGCTTCAGGTTCATCTACAACTCATGGGGCTGACAGAGAGACAGAGACTATCATAGAGGAAGATTTTTCAATGTCCTCCTCTGTCCCCTATATTTGTATACATTGATACCTGCACTTCACACACACACACACACACACACACACACACACACACACACACACAC